CTGAGGGTTTTTGAGGGCTCCGGGGGCCAATACCCGATCAAGTCCTTTAAGAGCTTATAAGAATTCTAGAAAGCCACACAGTAGCCCACAGTCAGTATGGATTGCGAGCTCAAGTCTGGCAGGCGTTGGTTTAGGGGGCTTCATGGTGTAAGATTTGTCGCGCTGGATTTAGAAATTAAGGTGTTGGGTTGAAACAGGACTTTGGAATGCCTGAACAGTGGCCAATCTGTTTTGGGGTTGAGGCTTTATTTGGGTTCAGGAATAGTTGTCTAGACTTCATCTGCAGTCTAGCCACCCACAACCTTTCAGCTTAGGGTTTCAGGCTTTAGTAAACGTATAAGGTTCAGTTCAGGTCTTGTTCAGCCTGTGCTCCCTTGCCGGCCCTGCCCAAGCCTTCAATCTCCGCACCCTGACAATTGGGGGGCCCTTAGTGGTGAAGCAAGGTCTTCGGGGTACTGCATTGGGCCAAGCAGTTTGCCCAAGGCTGTCTGCCTTGTGCCCTACATCCTACATGTCATTTTCCGGCAACTTTACCTGTTCGAGTGACATTAGTGACGAGGTATGCCGTGCATCTGATTGGTTCAAGTGATGTGGGGCCCCCTCGTACGGGAGTTCTTGGGGATTCTTCAGGAAGGGGTCGCTTCGAATTTCTGGGGTTTGCTCTGCCCGGTGCACTGCCAAGGGACTTCTTTTGCGGCTCTCATCGCTTCATTCCTCCTTGGCTTTCTGTGCGCCTCGATTTTGGCAATCCTCTTTGTTGCTTTCCCTCCCTGGACTTTCCACCTCCTAAGACGTGCTCGGGATCCTGCCTGCTCCTCCCTCTTCAGGGTCGGCCAGGCTCGCTTTGTATGGGCGCACCCGTCTCTGACGACGAGGCTGTTACCAGACTTTCTCTGGAGCTGGAAGGGCTTCGGATATCCATCACCCGCTCCAGAGGCTCCGCTTCCCTCACTGCTGTGAGCTCAGAGGGCCCACGGACTCCACCTGCTCGCGCTGTGCACAGGGCCCCTTCTGCCGGGTCCGATAACTTCGGGTTTTCCCTGGTTGAGGACCTAGGGGTAGTCCCTAACCCGCCTTCCCTAAGACCCGTGGGCTCCCCCGAGCCGAGGTCCTCCATTGAGGCCTCCTTCCCTGCGATACCGCGCACCTTGTTGGACTCCGCTAGGATCACTCAAGTCCGCCGTATCCTCCCCTGAGTGAGGAGAGGGCTAGGCGTGCTTGGCTGGCTGGCTGCTGGGCCGGTGCCGTGGTTGCTGGACGTTGCACCAGCCCGAACTGTACCCCTCGTCTGCAGCTCGCCTCGAGGATCTACGTGGTCCTCCGCACCCCTGCCAGCAACGACGTTCGCGTTGCGCACTCCAGGACGGAGTACCTACTTTTGGTGGACAATTTTAGGAGCAACTTTACTCTTTCGCACGGCTTCCCTACCGAGACGGAGGCCAGGATCTACGTGGCCGGGGCAGGACGCATTTTCCCCTCCCCAGCCTCTCGATGATCATGGACGATGTTATCCCTGCGGACTCGGGGGAGGTGGTTCTTCTCAGGGTCAACCAGCGTGCTCTGCAGCTCGACGGCGAGTCCTCCCCTGCGGTGGGCTACTGCGTGATGCGAAGGCCCGGAGGCCTGCTCCTGGCCCTCCCCGCCACCTTTCTCCCTCAGGAGGTGCTCTCGGAGGCAGCCCAGGACGACTTTGCCGGGGTCCTTGGTCCCTCGACGATCACTTCGGCTCCCGTTGTCGAGCTCGCCGAAGGGGGAGAGTGGGTCGGTGTCTACCCCACCAGGAACATAGATGTGCTCCTTGCAGACTTCGCGGACTCCGCCCTCTCCGGCATCGAGCTCCTCGACGAAGGTCTATCGGGTTGTGTTCCTTTCGTGGCCGAGAACCCCCACCTCTTCCCGCTGGCTACTGCTTTGGTCGAGTATGCTGTGGCTTGGGCCGGCGTGCAAGGAGACAGGGGGGCTGATGATTCCGGACCAAGCTTCTGCTGCCCCCCTGCTGGAAAGGCGTGCGAAGGCCGTGCCAGACCCAAAGAGAAGGCCAACGGTGGCCGCCCTTGCAGCTCAGCAGACGGAGATCGTGAAGACTTTGCAGGCCCTCGCGACGCAGGTACAAGTCCTCGCAAAGGGGGGCGCTCAGGTTCCGGCGGATCCGCCTCCTCAACCGGTGGCTCCGGTGGCTGCGAGGCCGGCTTTGGTGGCCCCCGTGTCTGCAACAGTGGTCGCCCCTCCGACCGGCCCAAGGGCGGTGGCAAACTTGTTGGGCCCTCCACCCCGCGGGAGGCCTGCCGTGAACGACGCCGCGGAGCAGGATCCAGGTCTGGATGGGCTGCCGCTGACCGCTGGAGAGCTAGGGCAGCCAGACGAAGGCAGCTCCATCACTGCGGCCTTCCTGGCACAGAGCCGAGCCCTCACCGCTTTGGTGTCCCAGATAGCGGGCCAGAACGATCCTCTTTCGGACCTGGCCGCGAGCGGCAGCTCAATCTCGACAAAGGGGTCCGCGGCCAGGTTAAAGCTCCAGAGGGAGCTCTCCTCCCGCACAGGTGTTTTCTTCGACAAAGTCTACGAGGCCGCCACCCGCCGGATGGAGCCTACAGCAGACACCTCGATGCTCGCTGCAGGGGTGAGCCAGGGACCAGTGATGACAAGGTACATGGAGCGCTACGGTGGCTTCCGAGACTACAGGACTTGGGGGCTGGTCCAGTGGCAGCTGGCTCAGGCTTTCGACCTACTGGCCACCGAACAGGTGGCGGGCGCAAAGGACGTCATCGCCCTTCTGATGGTCATGGTCGACCAGATCGTCCTCGACGCTGGTTCTCCCGACCTTGGTTGGCTGCTAACGCTGCAGCCGGACCCGCCAGCTCCGCTTTTTACGGCCCAGCTGAACACCCCGGGCTCATCACTGCGGTCGTGCTCCCACCTGTCGGACCCAAAGTGGGTCGCCACTGCCTTGTCCTACATAAAGGAGATGGAGACTTTGTCGGCGAGGCGCGGCGAGGCAGCAAGGAAGGCTCCACCCGGGACTCCGGATCCGCCTGCCGGAAAAGGACAGCCCTCGCTAACTCGGAAACAGCAGCGCGCAAAGCTGTGGGCGGAGCGAAAAGCCTCCGCAGCAGCAACTCCAAAGGCTTGAGGCATGGCTCTATAAAGGGTGGGGGTGAGTGTCTGGATGTTAGGTTTTTGGAAGCCAGTTCCCAGCGCCCGCCCCCTGGCCTGATCCACATGCATGCCCGTCCTTTTGAAACGGGCTCCTGTACCGCCGCCCCAGGTTCCTGCCGTCGCAGAAAGGCCTCCGCCCTATGTGCCGGTTCTTCCTCAGGTCCTGCTGTAGGCTGCACAGGTGAGGTTTCAAGTCCTCCTGCTTACACGTCATGCACTTCGAGCCCATCTTCAGGTCAGGCTACAGGCTGCACAGGAGAGCCGCCTCGCTCCCTGTCAGACACGTCATGCACTACGAGCTTAGCCTCAGGTCCTACCCCAGGCTGCACAGGCGAGGTTTCAAATCCTCCTGCAGACACGTCATGCACTACGAGCCCCCGCTCACCTTCAGGAGCGCCAGGCCCCTCTTACAGTTCGGGGGATCCGAGCTTTTGCTCCACTTTTGACTTTTGGTCTTGGGCCTCAGCTTTGCCTAGGCTCGTGCTTCGATCGGGGACTTCCTTTGCAAAGTTCCTCGGGTCTTCCTTTTGCATCAGTGATAGGGGCCCTGCTGCCCCCAATACCGCCCTGTTTCCCCTGCCCGTGCCGAGCCTTGGTTTGTTCGATGCAGGCATCCTGGAGTCCAGTCCTCCGGGCCTTTCCTCTGAGCCTACGTCTCGGCGGATCTTGCTTGAAAGGGTCTTGTATGTTGTGGTCTTGGGCCTAAACTACCTCCATGCCGATTTCAAGCACGTGCCCACTGACTGCCTCCGGAGGCTACCGACTGAGCTGCATTTGAAGGTGTTTGACAGGCTCAGGTCGATGCTTAGGGCGTGCAGCGAGAAGGGTGAACACCCTCTCGCCTCCGGCCGACGAGGGCCGCATCTCATTGCCAGGCTGCGTGAGCTCAATGCTCATATCTCAGGCCTTGGCCTCTCTACTTTTCCTTACCCTAGCGGAATCAGCGCTCGAGTTTTTGTGCCTCACGACGCCGACGGCCCAGAGGCCCTCCGCCCATACCGGGATGCTGACCCAGACCGACTGAAGATCTCCGGGACTGGATCCTGGAACCTTGAGGCCTTCCTCTCCCCTGAGCTCAGGCTGGCGTATCGTGAGCCCCACGTGCTCCGATCTATCCCTCCAAACCTGCTCCCTGGCCCGGACGGCGATGCTGAGCCCCGCGACCGCACCCTCCGACTCATGCGACTTTGGGACACGAAAGGGCTGCTCTTCATCTCTTTTCAGAAGAAGGAGCAGCGCGAAGTTACGAGGGTCTTCGGGTCATACAAGTCTGAGACGGCCGACAGGCAGATAGGCGACCGCCGAGGTGCAAACTCCCTGGAGGGGAGGCTCGAGGGGCCGTCTAGGTTCCTACCGCCAGGCCACAATCCTGTGTCAGCTTTCAGTGCCTCCGGGCCACCGCCTCATAGGTGCAAGCACTGACCGGGCCGACTTCTACCACCAGGCGAAGATCACCGCCTCGAAGGCAGAGGGAAACTGCATTGGTCCCAGCGTGAGGCTCGGCGACCTTGAGGGGACCGCCACCCTGGAAAGAGCCCGTGCTCTCGCATCCCTTGTCGACAAGAAGGGAGCGGCACCGCGCCGCCTCTCTCCGCTTGGGGAGGCCTGCCTTGTGTCCGCTAACGTGCCGAGGTCCCTCCTGCAGGACGGAGAGGCTGAGGTCAGGGGCGCCTTCAGGTCCTTATATCAGGGCGACCACGCCGGCGTCGAGTTCGCGACGCAGGCTCACACTGCATTACTGCAAGCCTCAGGGCTCCTCACGCGGGAGACCCAGCTCCTTGCCAAGCACGCTCCGAGTCGCGGCGGCCCATGGGAGGGGCTGATAATAGACGACTTTTTCTCCCTTTCTTCCGAAAAGCTCCACAGCCGCCCGGAAGACTCCACCGCCGCAGCAAAGGTCAGGCAGGCTAAGGCGTGCTACTCACAGGCAGGTGTTGCCGGCAGCCCCCACAAGGACATAGATGGCTCCGACCTCTTCCTTGCCGCCGGTGCCCAGGTAGACTCTACGGCAGGCACAGCCTCTGAAGGGCGAGTGTACGTCTCCGCCTCGACTCCAAAGCTCCTCGCCCTGTCCTTCCTGAGTCTGAAAGCCGCAGCGCTCCCCGTCATCACAGAGGAGCTGGCCTCGAACCTCGCTGGATCATGGATCTCAGTCGTCATGTACAGGAGAGCCCTTTTCTCCGTCCTCGATGGTTTCTTTAGTCTGGGGAAGTCTGAAGCCTCCCAAGCAACCGGCAGCCATCTGAGATTTTTTCCCTAGGAAGCTTGCCCAGGAGCTCGTCCTTCTGGCCTGCCTCGCCCCCGTTATGGTTTCCAACGTAGCGGCGACTTTCTGTGACCGAATTTTCTGTTCAGATGCCAGCAGCAGAGTCCCTTGTGAAAGATGCCTCGATGCAGAAGGGGGCTTTCTGCTCTACTGCAGCCTCAGTTGAAGTGGCAGCTTCGCTTTGGCTGTCTGCAGACAAGAAGGGTTGTTACACCACTCTTGACCGCTCCCCTGCTACAGTGAAGAAAGAAGCCGAAGACGATGATAGGGACGCTCCCAATGAGGAGCCCGCGTCACTGAGCCGGCCTCTGGCCTTTGACTTCGACGCTCTCTGCCTGCTCTCCGGTTCGACCAGCCTCGCGAGAGCCTTCGGAGACTTGGGCTTCAGGCCCTCCCCTGTCATTGATCTCAGTACCTCCCCAGAGTACGACATCAGCAGCTCCCATGTCAAAGAGTGGATACTGTATCTGCTGTGGGCAGGAAAGGCCCGCTCCTTGGTCATTGTGCTCCCAGCCTCCGCCTCTCTCCGCAGGACTGGGATAGGAGATCCCTACGCAAAAGATAGGCATAGGCTCTTAGGCTGCTGCCTCTCCCTCTTCAAGGTTGCCGTGAGGGCAAGGCGGCCCGCTGCCCTCCTCTTTCCCAGGTCAGGTGAGGTCCTCTCCGTCCGTGCCGCAAGGGGCCTTCTCAGGGTGCATGGATGCCACCTCCTCCCCCCAGACCTTGAGAAGGGAGAGCCTGCTGCTTACCCAGGGGTCCTTCACCTGCCAGGCCGCATCCCTAGCGAGTTCTTTGTGTCTCGACAGGTCCCGGGCCTCGCTTCCCAGGGCTTAGCCAGGCTCATTGGGGCCTCGGCCAACGAAGGGAGTCCGTCTGAAGTAGGTGTGCCCGCAGGCCTTGAGAGTGTGGCAGTAAACGAGGTCCTGCTGTGTTCTCTCTGGAGCACTGACATGTCCTGGCGCTGGGAGAGACAGCGACACATTAACGCCCTCGAGACCGAAGCTGCCGTCACAAACCTGCGGCAGTTGGCCAGAGAAGGAAAGGACTGTCGATCGGTCCATATCCTGGATTCCTCGTGTGCTCGAGGAGCACTTTCCAAAGGGAGGTCATCGGCAAAGTTGCTGAGACCGGGCCTCAGGAGGGCAGCCTCCATCTGCGTTGCGGAGGGCTATTCCCCGCTTACGTGTACGGCCCGACCAGACTGAATGTCTCCGACGATCCCACCAAGAGGGGCCGAACTCCGCGTGCCTCATGAG